CGGGCGGCGCGGCGGCGAGCATGAAGGAGGATGGAAGGGCAGGACGAGGTGTCGGCGCGGGAGCAGCACTTCCACAGCCAAGTGCGGGAGACCACGGTGCGTGGCCCCCACGCGTCCCCGCCGGCCTCGCCCCCGGCTTCGCCCTCTTCGTCGCCGTCGCCCTCGCCGCCCGGCCGCTGCACCTGCGCTCCCCGCGGTCCGCGTGCTCCGCCTTCCGCCGCGGCCGCGCGCGTGTGACGGGGAAGAGGGACGCGGGCCCGGGGTGACAGGAGGAGCGGGGCGCCGAGGCGGGCTGGCGCGGCCGGGGGACGGGGCGACGGGGGACGCAGGATTGGGGACGGGGCTGCGGGGACAGGGCGCGGGAGTGCAGGGCGCCGAGTCCTGGCGGGCAGGCGCGGGTCGCGGCTGGGCTGCGGGAGCCTGGGCACGGCGGCCTGGGAGGGGGAGGAGGCCGAGGCCGCGAGCCGCGGGGGCGGCCGCGGGCTGGCTGCGGGCTCCGGAGGGGCTGCGCCGTGCTGGAGCGCACCCCGCTTGCAGCGGGGGCCATGCCGGTGCGAGGCCTGGCAGGCTGTCGGTCAGTCGGTCGAGCTCCACCACCTGCCTACCTGCCTACCATCACCTCGGCCAGAATCACACTCCGGTGTGCGGTGAAGGCGTTGACTTAGAGCTCATCCACTTTCTGTAGTCCCTGCCATTCTTTTTTGTGGGATTGAGACAGGGTTGCCCTATGTGGTCCAGGCTGGAGTGCTGGGATTACAGGCATGTGTCCTAGGTCCTGATTTTTTTTATTTTTTTAAATGAGGAATCAAACTCAGGACCTTGCGCTAGACCCAGTTGTGGAAATTGGCAATCAGCTTGTCGAAAGCAGAGGCAGCGTCTGAGCTAGTGAAATTCAGTGTGGCAGAGTCAGTTCCTTTTAAGTTTTAAAATGGAAGCTTGGGTGCACGGAGAAGTATGTGAGTCAAGCGCCGGCGGGTCCAGACCGGACACAGCTCACTGCATGCTGGAGGGCCACCCTCGCTCGGCCTTCCTCTGGTACTCCTGACTCGGTATCAGCTCAGCTGTGAGCTCAGTGCAAATGGGGTCTTACACCATGTACGATCTTGCGTTTCATGTCTTTGATTCAGCAATGCTTTACGCGTGGTTGTAGTTTGTTCTCATTGCCGTACTTGTGCCCCAGCTCCATAACAGTATTTTAATTTTCCATGTTGCTGTTGATGGGCAGTTCCTAGTTTTTTTTTTTTTTTTTTTTGCCGGAACCGGAGGTTGAACTCAGGCCCGTGCACTTACCAGGGAAGCGCTTATCCCACTGAGCCATCGCCCCGGCCCATGTTTCTAGGTTTTAATCATGAGTATTTTTGCACATGATTTTTTGCAGCTGTGTGTGCATTTTTTGGATATAGACCCAGAAATCAAATCACTGGGCTAGAAGGTATATATGTTTGTGCATCTTTAGTACCTGTGGATGGTTTTTTTTTTACTGTTACAATTATTTTGTTACTCTCATGTGCACACTAAGTGTGTTTATTGCAGTTATGCATAAGAAGACACACAGTACCCAGAGTGTCTGGAGCTATCCATGTTTCCAGGCACCCACTGAGACACTTGTAGCTTCTCCCAAGAATGAGGGCTGAAGCTCAGTTCACCAGAGTGCCTTGGTTTACGGAGGGCTCACAGGCCCCTGCAGTCAGGTGTGTCTGCGTGCTGGAGAGCCGAATAATCCAGTCAAAGGTGGGAGGCCTGGGGCTCGCTGCAGGGTCTAGATGAGGAAACCCAAGAGTCTGTGTTGGAAGCCTGGAGAATCTGCTCTGGAAGGCGCAAGAGTTTGTGCTGGAAGCCTGGGAACACATCCAAAAGTGATGCGGAAGCCTGAGCACTCCAGGAAGCACAAGCAAGACTTCTTTCTTTCCCTTTTTATTCCATCCGGGCTACAAGCCTATTGGTTGGTGCCACCCACACCCTGGCAGGGCGTCCCTCTTCAGTAAGTCCATCAACCGCAGAACCATGCTAAGCCCATCAGCTGGACATTTCTTATTCAAGTGGACACCACTGTTAACTACCACAGCTGCCATGCATCTTCCTGCCTTCAAAGAATTTTATATTCTAGTTGGGGAGAGGCCAATTAATAAATACACAGCAATGAAATATAACTAGCATGTACCACACCTGCCAGCAGACAAGAGACCTCTCTCTCTTGTGTCCTTCTACCGTGGTATTTCTTTTTTCTTTTTCTTTTGCGGAACCGGGGATTGAACTCAGGCCGTTGCACTTGCCAGACAAGTGCTTATTCTACTGAGCCATCTCCCCGGCCCCTCCACCATGATATTTCTACCTTGGAATCACCTGGTCATAGCCAGAAACCATGAGCTAAAATAAACCTTTCCTCTTAAGTTTCCTTTCTCAACTATTTGGTTACAGTGGTGAAAAGCTGACCAATACAGAAAATAATATACAGACAATTTGTATGACTCATAAAGTCATATGGAGCTGGCAGGAGAGCTCAACGGACTAAAGGAACTGCTTATGCAAGGTTAGGTAAGTGCAGGGAGTGTGATTCAATCCCCTGCACCACGTGCTGCGCCAGCCCCACTCCCAGGGCGGGCTGAGAGGGTCAGAGTGGGACGTAGAGGCACAGGCCTGTAATCCCAGCACTGGGGAGGCTGAAAGCAGGAGGATCACCATGAGTCTGAGCTGCACAGTGAGACCCGAGAGGCTAGCTGTGGGGACAGTGTCAATGACGACGACAGGATAGGAAGCTGGAGATGTGATGCAGTGACAGCGTTGGTGTGCCCTGGTCTTGAGATAGGCCTGGGCCAGGCGGCGCCCTCAGCCCCTCACACGCCCCAGGGACACTCGGGAAACACCCGTGGGTGGTTTCAAATAGTGTCCTAAAGTAGTGGTCCTGGCTTACATTCCTCAGCATTGCGTGAGAGATTTGCTTGCATCTCATTTCTACCAATACTTGGTATTTTCCATCCATTTTTATTTTACCAACTGTGGTAGTATTCGTTAAACAAAGCATTTGAATTTGCATTTTCCTGATGACTAATAAATTTGGATACCTGCTTATACTTATTGGCTATTAGAAAACTATTTTTTAGTGAAGTATTTCAACATTTTTGCTCCATTCTAAAATTACTTTTTCATTCTGATATTGATTTGCAAGAGTTCTTTTTTCTAGATACAGTGTCTTGGTTGGATGTATGTATTGCAGATACTTTTTTCACTGTGTATTCATTCTTAACGATACCTATGGTGAACAGAAATTTTCTTTTTTGAGACAAGGTTTCTCAGTTTAGACTGGCCTAGGCTCACCGTGTAGTCCAGGCTGCCTCGAACTTGCTGCAAGTCTCCTGTCTCAGCCTCCTAGGTTCTAGGATTACAGATGTGTGCCACCACATGTGATTGAACTGCGATTCTATGTATGTATATATGTATTTGGCACAGGGTCTTGCTACACAGCTTGGACTGGTAGTAGTGATCCTCCTGTCTCAGTCTCCCCAGCACTGCGATTACAGGTGTGCGCCACCATGCCCGGTTTTGGGGCCAATGTGGCATACGGTATAGGACTTGAACTCAGGACCTTTTAATTGCCAGGCAGGCGCTTAGACCACTGAGCTATCTCCCCATCCTTGAAGTGAAATTCTTTTTTTTTTTTTTTTTTGCCAGAACTGGCAAAAAAAAATTGAATTCAGGCCCTTGCGATTGTCAGGCAAGCACTTATCCTGAAGTGAAATTCTTAACATTAATTTTTTTTTACATTAGCACTTTTTATATCCTGATTAGAGAAGTCCTTGCTTACACCAACGTTATGAGTTAGTAAGGATTATACTTTTCTCTAAATGCTTTTTTTTTTTTTAATTTTTTTATTTATTTATGTGTGTGTGTGTGT